TCTTATTTATATTTACAGCTTCGGTTTCCGTAGTAACAATCCTTTTCGTGATTGTCGAGGTAAAATAAAATTACTTAACATGTATTTTATATCCGGTGGACGCATGTATATCAATATAGAATCTACCCTATATCACTAATAAATTTATTAATATTTTTTTATAATCTTGGAAATCCACTAGATTTATTAATATTAATATGATATTATTACCATATATATATATATATATATATATATATATATATGTTCATATGTAGTGAGGATATATACCACAAAGGCAAAGAACCAAAATAACTTTTAATGCACAACAATTATAAATTCATGTTTCTGTCACGAGGAAGGCAATGAATTCAGCTGCATGCATCCTACGACGACTAAAGAGTGTTGTTGTGGATGTCATTTTAGTGGAATGTATTTCAGTATTTACTTTTCTAACGAGACGATCCGAAAAGCATTTGATGAATATTATCTGATTTTTCATATATATATATATATATATATATATATATATGTATTTATGTATGCATGCATGCATAAATGATTAACATATCACTATATATAGTGTTAAGATCAAATCCATCTATGGAGTTTCTGATTTATTATTTTTCCTCAAATAAAAAAAACTGTTAGAATTCTTTTTCAATATTTTTGTCCGTGTAAACAATTTTACTAAATTAAAAGAAAAAATTGTCACGATCTAAGAGCCATATATTATAACCGTAACATTCTCGGAATGTATGTATTACTATTAATTAATATTAAGGGTAATTACGATTACGAAGAGCCCGTGAATATGAGATTATAATAGATCAATATATACTACCACGTCACAATTATGGGCTGTAATTTTATCTTGAGATATAATGTATGTACATTCTTAAATACGTAAAATCCCATTATAAGCAGCTAGTAGAGTTTGGTTTTGGAAACATGTGGACACATATGTACCACTACGGATTACAAAACAAACTAGTTTTTATTAGGGTTTCAAAATATATAGTTTTAGGGTTTCATTAATATAGTTTTAGGGTTTCCGAGTGATCATATTCATATACCTACCAATTATGATGAAGTCACGAGCCATTAACAAAGACAATACAGAGTTTTTCATGGGATCATGGGCCATTTGAAGATCAAATATCTAAAGAGTCCTCTCGGGAGGTTGACCGGAAAATCTTTGGTGGGCCCAAAAGAATGGCCATCCCACCACACATCCATGTGTTCCTGTCTCTGCACGTACCTACGTACATACCTATACATATTCTCCGCATTTACTTATATAAATATCCTTATATACAAGGGTTTCAAATTACAATCAAACGCCAAAATCATTGAAAATAATCAATTTTAATATGTTTCTTATGTTCTTATATAACGGTCTCAAATTACAATTCAAGTTTCTATTTAAATAAAATAAAACGAGTAAAAAAAGAAAATGATAATGGCCGAGAGATGTAAAAGAACATTGAGAAAACAATAAAAAGCTTCTGACAAAGTCTACCTACTAACTCTGAGCACTTTTGACACAGTTTTTAATTTAATTATTATTTTTTTGCTCTTTCAGTACCCACCAATCTTCATTTTTGTTCACTCTTTGAAAATTGCTCCCTAACTTCTCCCCATTGGTTATTATGATCCCACAGCACATGGAACTACATATATATATATATATATACACAAAATTTCTGATCTTATAAGTCTTACTCATACTCCTTCCATTTCTAAATAAATAAAGTTTTAATTTTTTTTACAATTTTTTTAAAAAATATAAAAAATATCATATATATCTTTATTAAATCACATTTAGATATTTTTAATTAATGATAAAAATTATAAAATTTCTTAAAAAATAACCTAAAAAATCTAAAACGATATTTATATAATAACAGAATATGTTCTTTACAACGATCATTTATTTATAAACAGAGGGAGTATTCAAATTGTCATGAACTTGAAAATTTCCCTAGATTTAAGGCTAGAGTTCTGTTTTGAAATATTTTTAGAGAATCAACATTAGATTAGTAACAGAATCAAAGGTACATTACTGTAGATTAGGTACAATTGTAAAGGGTTGAGTTTGTCATTTTCTTTAAATTGGGGAAGTTTAGTAAATAAGGTAAAATTGAGAGGCCGACAAGAGATATTTGAGAAGTTTGGGTCGGAGAATAAATACAGATGTGATAATTTTGTATGGGCTTTTAACTACTTCTAATAATGGGACTGTCTGTAGGGCACAATGTCACAATGTTAGGTGTAATCAAACTCATAAACTATTGTAAAAAAAAAAAATCACGATGTCCAATCACACACTTCAAAACTATTTTTTATAATTAAATTATACGCAATTTGTTTTAAAAAAAATACAATTTATGTTAGTTTTGTATTGTTTTATATACTAAAAAAACACCGACTCGATTGTATATAAAAATTCCATTTACATAAAACCTCCATGACTATTTAAATCAGATTTATTTATGTCTAGAAATATTTTTCGGATATTATCTTATAATTTAGTTGCATTTTCTTTTATTCATATTTAATGTCCAGCTATGATCATACTCTGAGAATTCTGATTAGGACCGGATCCCACATTATTGACATGTATTTTTTTTTTCAATTTAATTATGCATTTGGAAAATTCAAATTTGATTTAAACAGAGAAAACAACTATTTAGCAAATAGCACATAAATCAAATGAGACAAAAAAGAAGAAAAGAAATCTTCATTTATAAACATTTAATGGCCTAAAAATATTTAGAATAAAATTTAAATCTTAAATTAAATTCAATGAGCAGTTCAAACTTCAAAGTACTAGTTCTCTGAATTTACAAGTTAATGAAGCCTTAGATTTTTAATTGCTCTCAGAATCTTGGCATTCACATATCAAGTAAAAAAAAAGAGAGCCCATATTAAACAAATAAAAAGAAAAATTCCATTATTTAACTTTGAAATTGGGCCTCAATGCATTATTTAATTTTATAATTAAGTATTGATCTAATGTTTGAAGCCTAATTTTAAACTGGACCAGGGACTCTGGCCCGATAACTATATTCCACCCACCTTTATATGATTTTGGTCAATACGTTTATCAAATTATTTTCAAGATAACCCATTGGGTTTGATGCATGTTTTTTTAGATTTCTTCACTTATACCTCTAATTGTAAAAATATAAAATTACGAAAATTAAATTAAAAAGGATAAATAAAAAACGAAATTACTTTATTACGACTGTACAATAAAAATAACTCATATATTTATAAAAAAAATTAACAAATAAAATAAAAAAAGAAAATATAGATATATTGAAAATAAATATGATACATAATATTTAACATATGTTCCTTATTATTGAAAATAATATCTCGAAATCTATAATTTTCTCCAATTACATATTCGTTTTTCTATTTCAACATTCTCATCAAGAATGATTTTGAAAGAATGCAAAAGTAATCTTGAAAAGATAATGCGATAAAAAGCCATAGATATTTTTATTGCGTTTAGAAAAATCCATGAACATCAAATTTAATTATTTCAAAGGGTATTACTCATTTTCAAATCATTTTACTTGATTTTAAAATTATATCTTTAACTCCTTTTGTCATAACATCTCGCTTGAACTTAGAGTTTTTAGATTTGACTTTTTTTTTTGTCACAACACCTCGTTTGATTTTGGATTTTTACTCATTTTTGAACGATTTGGATATATGAACATCCAAAACTGAAAAAAAAAAGATTCAAAAATAAAAAAAAAGATATAGAGTAGATCGAACCTAGATCGAACCGCTATGATACCATATAAAAATATAAAATTATAGAAATTAAGTAAGAAAGGAAGACAAATAAAAAACGGAATTACTTTATTGTTATATCTCTTCTTTTTCTTGTTACATTACAATGAAAATAACTCACATATTTAAAATAAAAAGAAAATATAGATATAATGAAAATAAATATGATACACAATATTTAACTCCTTATTATTGAAAATAATATCTTAAAATCTATAATTTTCTCCAATCACATATTCATTTTTGTATTTCAACACCGATTACTTTAAGATTTCGCATAAAAGTTTCGACCTCAAGTTGGGGAGAGGAGTATAATTTCAATCACATGGCTTTCTTTCGATCTGTATGGATCTCGATACAAGATACCCGGTTATCCAAAAAAAAGTTTCGGAAGAAAAGTGAAACTGTACAAATATATAGAGAAATCCAATATTATATGGCTCAACTGGTAATGATAAACAAAACTCCTTTGCAACCTGGGTTCGAATCTCCACTTGAGGAGCGAGGAATATATATTTCCAGCAACAAGAACGGAAGCAGTTCTTATACATGCAAAAGTTTTCTGGTTTCTTAATACGAAAGTTTTGTATCATCTGAATCCGTCAGTAAAGATCTATTCACAGCTTCCATTCGATGATATTGATCTCAATGATAGGAAGTGATGCAAATGTATTGAAGTTATGGGTCGGTTTTAACCCATTAAAGCTATCAAGAACCTTGATGTTCATTGTTTTTGCCGCCTGGTTGGGGGTCTGGTTCTCGATGTAGCTGAGCCCGGGGAATTGCGGTTAACCACTGTGGAAACCTCTTAACCGGGTTCGGTTCTGATCCATGAAATCTCACATGCAGCTGTTCGATCTTGCGGTGGGGATCTACAAAACAGATAACTGCACTAAGAGCATCACCATTAATCCTAGAAGAAGCCTGGCGGTTTGCGAGAGGGCTTCTGCTTAACCGGTCCGGTACGTGAAATCTTTGCCCTGTGTATTGTGGAATTTCTCTGTGACGTTACGTATATGTCTCCATATATACATACATAGAACCATACAAAGCCCATTGCACATACAAAGGTCTTGATCATAACAACAACGACACAACACCATTGCATACATACATACATACATACATACATACATACATACATACATACATACATACATACATACATACATACATACATACATACATACATACATACATACATACATACATACATACATACATACATACATATATATGTATGCATTATCCAAATCCATACGTAGAACTCAATAGACACACACCACAACAGACTTATGTTTTCATGGTGAAACAATGGATTGATCTGAACTCAATCTACTGCACCAACACAGTTTTCTGTCATTTATTTCCGAGTTAAGAAAGCAGGATCTACTCGAGAGAGAGAGAGAGAATGCAGAAGCCTTAAGATGTGGGAGCATCTCCTCCATCCTCTTTTACCAAATGCTCGAACGCTTCGATCCTATTTCCTTGAGGATTCTTCTTCCACTCCATGAACTTCTTGTTTGCCTCCATGAATTTCTCCTTGTGGAGCTGTTTCCATTCCTACCAAAAACCCACAATCAAACAACTCCTGTTCTAACCATACCGACTAAATTTGTGAATCAATACCGTTCCGCAACCAAGGTTATACCTCGAAATCCCATTCTCCATACAGATTTGGATCCTCTTTGTCAGCCCAGACATATGTTTCCACTTGCAGCTTCTCAGAAGAGCCCTGAAGATGGAGAAAAGGCATCAACTTTTCTTTTTTCGCATCGGTTCCACGACGTTGTAATGATCAGAGATGATCTGATTCCGACATACCGTCAATACGACCTCAACAGTCTTCCTCTCATAGAGACTACCCTCAATCATATCTAAGTTCTTTAGTTCATCATCTGTTAGTCCCAACAGTACCTGCACCAACATCATCCTCAAAATCCATTTCTACGCAAATCACTTGAAAAACACATCACAGATTCATAGACAAAACCAAAGCGGAAAAGATCAAGTTCCTTGTTCATTGGTCAGAGGCACAACAATCTCTAAGTTTTTATGGTGGATTCACTACCAAAGTTTCTTGCTTTTTCTATCAATTCAGAGATCAGAATAAAATATTCAAAGCAACAAAAAAAAAAAATATTTAAAAGGGTTAGTGAAGAGAACCTTGCCGGAGACTTTCCCGGTGTCAAGAGGCGTAATACATGGATGCAATCGGCCTTTGATCCTGTACCTGTGGCTGCAAAACCCAAGATTTCACAATTGACCATACACACAGAGAGAGAGAGAGAGAGAGAGAGAGAGAGAGAGAGAGAGAGAGAGAGAGAGAGAGAGAGAGAGAGAGAGAGAGAGAGAGAGAGAGAGAGAGAGATACAAGCCGGAGAGAAGGGCGGAGACAGAGTCATGAGATCTCTCAAAGAGAACCTCAACGACGTCGGGCTCCTGGAAACTGCCATAGACGAAGACACTGTGCTTCCCCTCTGAATTGCTCATTCTCCCTTCTTCCTTTCTTTTGCCTTTCCTTTTCTAACAGTGTTTCTGCTTCTCTTTTGAAGATGAAAGATATGTAGCTTAGCTGTCCAGAGCATCTCATTCCAAAAAACTTTTTTTTTTTGTTTATAACATGTGATTTGCCAACGGGCTTCGTAATGAGCATTCCCAAAAAACTTGCTATATATTATTATTATTATTTTATATATATATATATTGTAAATCTGTATTTATATATATGTATATAAACAAAGATATTTTTATAAAATTTCACTGAAAAACTCGAAAACCCACCGACCGGATCCCCAATTAAAGTTTTTTTTTTTTTAATATCAGAAGACAATATGCCCATACAAGGCACTGAGGCAGGATATGTAGTTCTCAGGTTATCGGTAGAATCAAATTGGTGGTTTATTTGGATCAGTCGTGCCTTAATGGTGAGACTTTATTCGCAGCGTCATGTCGGTCGTACCAAAAATGGGTATTTTTCCTGTGAAGCCCATTTTCTGGTTTATGGGCCCAACTTAGGGCTTCATAGGCCCATTATGGAAAAAAACGAATAAAGTTTTGTGCCGTGCAGGCGTGTTGACCAGATTTCTATTACAGATCAGTTGTACTTTCTGGCCGTTCCCCTTATAGGTGTGGAACAATTATCAATTTAAACCGGAAATGTCCAAACCTAAACCAAACCAAAACCAAACCAAACCAGACCACATATTCTAATACATTGTTGTGTGTTAATGGTCTCCAATGTCCAATCCACTCAGTCACAAGAGGCTTCTACAACCTCTTTTATCTGATTCGGTTTGAGGCCCAATGTTTGCCGGCCCACCAAATCTCGGCCCATGTACATAGCTTGGAAGAAATAGTTATGCCTTTCATCTGACGACACGTGGAAATTTATTTAATTTCCGTATTTTTTAATAAAAGACGAAAAATTCTCAGCCACAAGCAGAGATATAAAATAAAAGCCGGTTTCCTTCACCGCCTCTTTGGCCTTTTTTATCATAACTTTTTATTTTGTAATTGACACGTGCCGTTTTGATATGCTGACGTGTTTTACTGATGGTTTACGTGAAATTAAAATTGAAATTGGTTTAAAAGAAGAATAAGGATCTCCCCCTTCGTTACATTAGTTGTATAAGCATTAATACATAATACCTAAACTTGAAAATCGACCACCTAATCCTCACTATACCATATTTTTAACCCTATGTTTGAAATAATGGTATTTATTTGTTTTTATATTTAAATTTTATACAAGAAGATATGAAAGAAATTTCCATATAATATTTTTATTTCTTATTCAATATATTATATTTTCACTTTTCACACACGACACATATATATATATATATATATATATATATTAAAAGAAAATAATATGTGGATGATATGCGGATGGGAAGATGATGTGGTTGAAAATATGAAAACCTGAAGAGTGGATATGTTGGGGGGAAAAAGTAAAAGGTGCTGACGTGGAATTGAAAAAGGCAAAAGAATAAAAAAAAAAGAGAGAGAGATCCTTTTACCATTAAGTCCACAAAACAAATCTTGTGGCTGAGAATCCCTCTGTTTGCTGACGTGGCGTCCCCGGCGAATCAAAAGCCCGTAGAACTCAGCAACACTGTAATCTTTTTTCCGGAACAGCAAAAAAGAAAAAAGAAAAAAAAATAAAATAATAAATAAATACATAAAATAAAAAGGAAAAGAAACAACGCAACCTCCAACAAAACAGCGGGACAGTCGGCTCTCTCTGTGTCCCTCTTTATAAAATTTGTAGCTTTCTCTGTCTAAAAGTTTCCGGTTTTCTTCGTACAGATAGAGAGAGAGAGAGAGAGAGGAGGAAAAATGTCGGACCCGGCGATCAAACTGTTCGGGAAGACGATTCCGTTGCCGGAGATGGATGCTTCGCCGTCTGGCGCGGCTTCTAGCTCCGGCGGAGAAGTAGTCGACCAACGAGATCAGGATCCTGCTCCGTCGCCAGATTCGTCTCTCGGGGAAGACAACACAAGGGAGGACAGCGGCGGCGGCGGAGGAGGAGGTGAAGAAGGTGGTTGCGGCGGCGAGGAGACAGAGAGTGAAAAGGTGAGCTTTTGGATTGGTGAAATCACTTCTTTTGTCGAATTTGAGGGTTACCCATAATTTAGTACTGGGAAATGACTGACGGGTTTATGTCAGATTGATCGGAATCATGTGTTTTTACTTGCCTGTTCAAATTTCGGATGCTTGTGTTGACTGGGTTTTCACCTTTTTGGGATTTCCTTTTCTAAGAACTCTATAAATCTGGATTTCTCCAATGAGGATCTCGTCGAGTGATTGGAGATGTAACTTCTTCGCTTTCGGTTTGATTCTGTGACTATGATTCGGTCTTCGACCAGCGCTTGCATCTAAGAGATCGGATTTCTTGAAGAAATTTAGGGTTTTATCTGTTGAAGATGTTGGATTATCAGTACAGTTTAGAACAACTTGTGACTAGGATTAAATAAGTCTGGATCTAGAAAGTTCCTGAGTTCATGTTCCAGAAAGATTTGGTTTTAAGAGTTGCTTAATCTTTCACATGTAATGCAATTTTTTCACTCGCTTCTGCGTCCTGAGTTATATGTTGTGTGATGGCCCGGGTTAAATCTTATGTAGTCTGTTCTTGATGAATGAATCCTATGGCCGAGGTCCTCCCTTGGAGCCATTAACCAGTAAATCAACATGGTAAAACAGTTTCAAGAAATCTTTTATTGATCTTATGATCGATCTTACGGATTTGATTTCAGGAAATTCAGGAGGAAAACGTTAATGACTGCGGAGAAGAGCATGGTGGAGAGTCATCCTCTATCCAGGAATCTGGTGTGGCTTCTAGTCCGTCGGACAAAGTGGAGACGCCAAAACCTGACGCTGCAAAGACAGAGGAAGAGACGGACGCTTCTTCTCAGGAGACAAAGCTAAAGAAACCCGACAAGATTCTGCCTTGCCCACGTTGTAACAGCATGGACACCAAGTTCTGTTACTACAACAATTACAACGTGAACCAGCCCCGCCACTTCTGTAAGAACTGCCAGAGATATTGGACGGCTGGTGGGACGATGAGGAACGTTCCTGTAGGAGCAGGGCGCCGTAAGAACAAGAACTCGGCTTCTCATCTTAACCGCCATGTAAACATATCCGCTGCTGAAGCCATGCAGAAGCCAAGAACGGATCTTCACCATCCAAACGGTACCAACCTCATCACGTTTGGCTCGGATCAGCTCCTCTGTGAGTCCATGGCTTCTGGTTTGAACCTTGCTGATAAAGCAAAGCTAAAGACTAGAAACGGGTTCTGTGAACCGACTGAAGGCTTGAAGATTCAGATCCCTTACGAAAATAACGGGGATACTTCTTCAAACCCGCCAAGCATTGAGGCGGGAGTGAACAGCTCAACGCCAAAAGCTCCATGCTTTCCAGGACCTCAAGCATGGCCTTACGTGTGGAACGGAGCTCCGTGGACGGTTTTACCATTTTACCCTCCACCCGTGTACCTGAGCTATCCAGGGGTTCCACCGGCCACATGGAACGGCTTTCCTTGGATGGTTCAGCCAAATTCACCATCTGGGTCCGGTCCAAATTCTCCAACATTAGGTAAACATTCGCGAGACGAGAACATGGCCGGGCCAGGAACCAGTTCAAAAGAAACCGAGCCATCATCCAAAGAGAAGAGCGACCCCGAGAGATCATTGTGGGTTCCCAAAACGCTGAGGATGGACGATCCAGAGGAAGCTGCCAAGAGCTCCATCTGGAAAACGCTAGGGATCATGAACGGCGAAAGGCCGGAAACTTTCAGGGCTTTCAGATCAAACAAAGGAAAAGGTGCCATTGCAAAGGAAAACCCTTCACCGCCTCGGGTGTCTGCCTTGCAAGCAAACCCCGCGGCGATGTCAAGGTCGGTGAACTTCCACGAGAGGTCGTAGCTCGGAGAAAGGCTGATTTGATTGTTTTGTGGGTCTCTTGTACATATATGGTTAGTTACACACACACATATATATATATGTATATATGTATGTGCAGTATGTGTGTGCATACATATATATTCATATTATATACATATATGGTTTGACATAGAGAGAGTTTTTTGCTTTGCAGAGTGAGAGTTTGTTGTACCATAAGGGAAACCCCACCAAAAAAAAGAAAAATTGTAGTAAAACAAATATTTGGGGAGGCCTAACAAGATCCAAGACTGATGAATACACTGTGTTCTTAGGGTTTCGGAGGAATGCGATGTTTAATATATATATATATATATATATATATATATATATAATAAATATTTCCCACTATTTATCTGTTTTTATGTATACAATGTATAGTGAATTCGTTGTTATACTGAAAGGCAAAATAACCCCCCAAGGTTGTAAATGCAAAAATAGTCAATCAATACATACAAAATATTCTTCTTATTCATACCATTGCAAAAAAAAAAAAAAAAAAAAAAAGCCCGTCGGTCCACTAATTTAGTGTTTGGAACCTCATTTCCTGTCTTTTTTTTTTGTTGTTTTATTTAAATTTAGGAGGTGATACATACACGGAAGTTCATATTTGTGAGAGAATGGGAACTCATATGTGTTGTTGTGGAAATGAGATTAAAAAAAAAAAAAGAGAGCAAAGAGGAAGGAACGTGTCACCTTTAGATACCCAACCACTTGAACACTTTGCCCCATTTGTCCAATGTTCCGACAACATATCTGCCGGGTCCTTTTATCACCAAAAAAAAAAAACAGATACAATGGTATTATACAATTTAATTTATAAATATCGGCATCGCAAGAATACAATTGTATACTGTGTTTTTCTAATATTCAATCTTTTTTGGTTAGTTTTCAATCGTGTACTGTGTTTTTTAATATTCTATTTTTTTTTTAATTCTTGTGGATTTATGATTGTGAGAACGTTCTTTGTTTTTTAGTTTCCTTTTGCTAAATGTAATTGTCTTTGTATTCAATTAACCTTAGGGAATACTATTAAGGACGTTGAAAAATGGGCTTTAGTACCCAAAAAGATATGTGAGAAAGCCCATAAGTCATAATGGGCTTAAGAACAAATGAGACCATGGAGAGAATTGAAAGGCCATTAATATAGGCCCATTAAAACCCTAGTCCAAAGATTGGAAATACAGTTAATAATAATAATAATAATTATAATAAAGAAAACTAAAATTTGTTGTTGTTATTACGATTATAAAAAAAAAAATACGTCATGCATCACCAATTATTATTTTTTTTTAGAAACACGGGCACCATAAATTGATTGGAAATTATGTGGAAAGATTCACACTTGGAAAATAATAACACTCGTAATTGACCAAGACAACTAACTTCGTGGAAAATGGCAGCCATTTTACTCTCTCACTTCTAAGAACGAACTTTAATTGCAAGTAAATGAAAACAATCATTTTATTAATTACTTTACTTTCCTCCCTACGAATTTTTTAAAGACACGGTAACCTAAAAAACATAAATTTTCAAAAAAAAATTCATAGAAATACATTAATTTTTAAATTTCTACAAAGGTATGTAAACTTTGTAAAAATTTCCATAGCTATATAAAATATCGTAGTGGACGTTGATTTATGGTAATATTTGCAAAGTTTATTTATTTTTATACACGTTTCAAAAGTTCGTTTATTTGTAAAGTTTATGTTTTTTTAGGTTACTCTCTTTTTTTTTTTAATTATTATATTCTAATTCTAACGTTCGGTCAATCGAGTCAAGGAAACACAAAAACAAATATTCCATTCGTTAAAAATTAAATAAAAATATGTTTCGGATATTCATTAAGTACAATTTAAATGTAAATTCTCAAGAAATACAATATCAACATATTTGTTTGTGATAGTGGAAGGGTGAATATTTTAGTTTGATATGTAAAACCAAATCAAAATGATAATGAGTAACATAAAAAATTGAATCCAAATCCGATTATATATAATTTATATTAAATGAAATTAAACAAATTTAACTTTATGATAAATACAATGAAACGAAAACTATTATTAAAAATAAATATTTTTTTTTTATAAAAATCAAAACAACTTTCTCAAATTAAAATTCGATGCTACTGTGAGTGGAAATAACTTTTCAAGATAAAAAACTAAGTTGAAAGAAAATTCAAAATGCTTATTGTTATAATTTTTCAGATTTATTTGGTCGTAATTTTCTCGTTTGCCCACATTCTTGTTTATTCATATTTATTTCATTTTAATAGTTTTTTTTTTAAAATTCCATATTAATAATACCTCAAATTCTCGAGTGATATTCAAGTCTTATGGTGACAATTGTAATTGTAGACTAGACCGTAGTAATTTTTGGACCGTGTACTTTAAAGGAATTATAATATATTATTATAAATGAAAGAATTCCGTCATATTGATCGAATAAAATAAAAACAATAAGGGAAAAAAAAAATTCAGACTTGGCCAAACGTTTCCTACGAATACAACCAAACTCATAAACAACTCCCACAATGTCGTGGAACTTTAAGAAACTTCGTCTCTTCTCACGCATGCTTAGCCTTTTGTCTCTCTGTCTCTTTCTTCTTCTTCTCATCGCACCTTCCTCTCTTTTGCCTCTCAAGAAAAATATGCCCACCTTGACTTGACAACACCTTCAACATACATATACAACACATGTATATGTATGTATGTCTATATATATATATACATACCTATACCTTACACAATCACCTATCTGAAACACCAGTTCCTTGCAAAAACCCATTTCTCTTCTCTTCCAATTCAACGCTTGAAGAAGAGAAACCTGTTCCCTTTTCCTGTTTCAAGAGAGGAGAGAATCTGGCATTGAATTTCTACCTTCTTAATAGTATTGTAGCTATGCCTCTGAACCAGTTATACTGCTTCGTACCCATGGACAAGGCCAAGACTTCGTCCTCCTCAGGGTGTGAAGAATCTTCTCTGCCTCTGTCTGGCTTGCTCGACTTTTTCCTCGTTGGTTTTCTCAGATGGGTTTTGAGCGCTCAGAGCTTTTTCTCAAGATTTTGGCATCTTCTCCAGCAGCAGCTCGCTTTCGAGAAGAAGAACGAGGAGCTTGAGCTCTCAAACCAATGGAGTTTCCGCAAGCACGAAGGTGAAATCTGCAGAGAGGAAGTGGAGACGGTGATGAGAAGTTTGGGACTTTTCTGCAAACAAGAGCATGAGGGGCTTCAAGAACGGTACAGTTCAGAGGAGATTTCGAGTTTGTTCGAAGAGAAAGAGCCAAGCTTGGAGGAAGTGAAAGAAGCTTTTGACGTCTTTGACGTAAACAGAGATGGGTTCATCGATGCAACCGAGTTGCAGCGAGTTCTAACCACACTAGGGTTAAAGGAAGGATCTGACTTGGAGAATTGCAGGAAAATGATCAGATCATTTGATGGAAACGAAGATGGAATGATCGATTTTCACGAATTTGTGAAATTCATGGAGAACAGATTCTGCTGAATCATAATAGTGTAACAAATGGGTTTTTTCATTCAAATCTTTGCTTCTCTTTTTCCATACAATCACTACAATCCTCCGTCTGTCTTGGCTTTACACGAGGAGACAGTATGTACATAGGTTTTCTGTATCCTTCGTTGTCAGAATTCATAATTTCATATCAACATGAAAAGACCATGCCTTTGAACGTTTTCAGAATTCCTCATTCAAACCCAGAATGTAAATAAGCCCCACCATATGCCAATTCCAAGAGACAACGTTCCTCTCCAGCATTAAATCGAACAACTTGTGTGCACACATCATTTTCCTGCCTTTTGCGTAGAGATCAATCAGAGAATGACCTGGAATCAGTCCCCGGCTCGAGATGCTTTGTCCCTAATGATCCACTGGCCATGAATCGATTCTCCAACCATCACATTACTTAAGCCGGTACATATTTTGAGAAGCTTCTTGGCGCGTTCGAGAGACGGGAGAATTGGGTTCGGTTCGAACGGAGAAGGCGGTTCTTCGGTAGCTGTTGTCCGGTGACGGGCATGGCGCCAAAATGCTGTATTTCCGACAATATGAAACAAAAACAAAAGGAAGACCCACAAGAGTTGAAGAGGCGCGTAGTCAGTCACGCGCCTCCACGACGCGTACCGTAAGAGAAATTTCGGAAGCTTCGAACAAAGCCACCACAGGAGGGTTCTCCGAAGCTTCTGACAGAACTAGAGGTTCCATTTTGCGACCAGCGCTTCGTTGAAGATTCTCTGCCTGAGCAGACCAAACATTGTCGAAATTCCAACTTGTAAACATTCGTTGAAGATTTTCTGGTTCGAGATCACTTACCATTGTCGGATATCGATCGTACGTAAACCCCTTTTGTTAAGTTCAACTAAAACACGTGCAGGGAAAAGATTTTTTCTGTGATGTAGGTTTCAGAAGATAAAGGCAAATCTTCCTGATGGTTCCAGAAGATTGTGAAGATAAAGTCAAGTAGTTGAAGAGATAAAGTCAAATCTAGAAGTTGCAGTTGAGTTAAATTCTTGATGCCTAAAGATCTGGAAAGAAATAGTCACAAAGAGGATCTTGAGAAGATTAAATCAAATCTTGGAGTTCAGATCAACAACACGTCTTGAAACCTATAAAAGAGAGAGTCTGGAGCATAGAGAAAGTATGGAAAAAGAGAGAGTCTTAAGAAAGTTAATTTTTCCGTTCTGGGAGTTTTCCATTCTGGTGAGTGTTACTTGAGCGAAAGTGAGTTGTAACTGAGGGGGAGCCCGAAAATCACAATCAGGGCAAACCATTCAGGGGGAGTGTGGAAACACTTGGGTGAGTTTTTTTTTTTGCTGATAGAATTCACGTTGTAAGGGGAACAAACTCAGGGGAGTTGTGTTCGTGTGTTGGATTAAACTCGAACGAAAAAGAGTTGTAATTCACAAACTTTGCAAGTGAATAGAATCAGTGGTTGTTTTTAAGAGTGCGTGTTCATTTATTTTTTCAATTGGTATCAGAGCGTTGGTCACTGATCGTAGGAGAAATCCTCTCATATCAGTGTAAGGATCACGCACCATGGAATCGCTGAAGGAACTACATATGTATGGTAGATCACTCCTACTTGACTCTAGCAATTATGGCTACTGGAAGGTTAAGGTTATGAACCTTATCAAAGGAGTTGATGAGGATGCCTGGATCGCAGTTGAGAAGGGGTGGACGATTCCAAAAACCGTCGTTGATGGAGTGGAGATACTCAAACCTAACGATCAATGGACGCCGAATGAAAAGAGAGCTTCGGCACTAAATTCAAAAGCACTTTCAATCATCTTCAATACTGTGGATTCAGACGAATTCAAACAAATCCAAGCATGCAAAACTGCTAAAGAAGCATGGGATACCTTGGAATTGATCCATGAAGGTACGTCTAATGTTAAAAGAAAAAGACGTGACATTGTCAAACATCAGTTTGATAAATTGGAGATGGGAGAGAATGAAAGTGTGAAGGAGTTTTGTGGAAAACTCAGTTCATTGGCGAATGAAGCTGCAGCTCTTGGTAAACAATACAAGGATAGCAAGCTAGTCAACAAGTTAATCATGAGCCTTCCTGAGAAATATATTCCTCAAATAGCTGCATTCCAGATGGTTCACAATACTGACAAAGTAAGTTTCAAAGAAACTGTTGGTATCTTTTCTGCTCATGAATTGGAATTGAATGTCATCAGGAAAAGACATACGTCAGTGACACCTCGGAATAAGTCAGTTGCTCTTCACGTACCAGAAGAAGGATCATTACATATTTCACCTGAAGATGACATGTCGCTCATTGTGAAGAAGTTCAACAAATTTTTTAAGTCAAAGAGGACTTTAAATTCTCAGAAACAAGAGACAAAGGACACAAACCGATGTTTGGAATGCAAGGGGAAAGGACATTGGAAAGCAAATTGCCCTAGTGTGATCAAACGAGAAGCTACTCTGAGAAGTCTGCGAGAAATACAGTGCTATGAATGTCAAGGTTTTGGGCACACTAAGAACGAGTGTTTAGCAAGAGGAAAGGGAAAAGAAAAATCCTTGATCATTCATGATGAATCTGAAACGGATTCTGAAGAAGAAGAGGAAGAAGTGTCAAACTTCTGCGCATTTATCGGAATCATAGATGAAGAATCCGATGGAGAGGAAGTGAATGTTGATGATCTATACAAAGAGACACTCAAGATATATGACATCAACATGAAACTAATCAAGGAAAAGGATGGCCTGGAACAACAATTAACCGCTGTCAAAGCAGAACTTCATCAGAAAGAAGAAGAAATCACTCTCCTAAAACAACAGCTGGAAGAGACAAAGAAGAATGTGAGAATGCTGGGAAGTGGAACAGAAAAACTAGATCATCTGCTCAACATAGGCAGACATGATTCTGGGCACACTGGACTTGGGTTTGTAGGGAAGCTAAGCAAAAACCAAGGACAATTCATATCAGGTGGAAATCTGAGTGAAGAAATACCTGACAAAATTCCAAGGAACCCTCATGTCAGAACCATCGCCCAGCCACCCGACTCTCACATAAGGGAGCACAGATCGAACTTTCAAAAAAGGAATACATATCAAGAAAGACGACGATGTTTCTTCTGTGGAATCAAGGGTCACATCAGATATCAATGTCGACATCTGAAAGCTGCTCAAAAAACAGGTAAATTCTCTAATTTTCCGTTTTCTGTAAGGCAGGTATGGATAAGGAAGGATGCTCTGCATTGTGGAGTAGCGTTAACTTCTGAGCAGAAGGACCATGACAACATCTGGTATCTGGACAGTGGGTGTTCAAGGCACATGACAGGTAATCCTGAGTTATTGTCTAACTTCGTGAGTGACAGGAAAGGGGGTAACGTGACCTTCGGAGACGGAAAGAAAGGAAAGATTATCGGACAAGGCTGTCTCGATACAGCTGGAATGCCAAGGCTCACAGACGTGAATGTTGTGTCGGGTTTGAAATCGAACTTGATCAGTATCAGTCAATTGTGTGACAAAGGGATGCAGGTACGGTTCACTCATGATACTTGTTATGTAACAGATGAAAACCACAAATGTGTGTTGACAGGAAAGCGCACCGCAACAAATTGCTACGTATGGGTTGATAAGTATCAACACCAGTGTTTTCAAGCATCCACATCAGATTTACAACTATGGCATCAAAGACTTGGACACATGAGTGTAAAATCCATGATTAAACTGTCAAAGTCAGGGGCTGTTCGCGGAATGCCAATGTTCACTCATGAGGACAAATCATTATGCAAAGCATGTCAGCAAGGTAAGCAAATTCGTGTTCACCATAAGAAGATTGATGGAATACACACCGACCAGATTCTAGATCTCATGCACATGGATCTAATGGGACCTATGCAGACTGAGAGTATTGGAGGAAAAAGGTATGTATTTGTTGGTGTTGATGATTTTTCTAGATTCACGTGGGTTCGTTTTCTCAGGGAAAAATCCGAAGCATTTGATGTCTTCAAACACTTATGGCTTCAAATCAAAACTGGTAAGGGAAGCATTAAACGAATCCGAAGTGATCATGGAAGAGAATTTGAGAATGACATATTTGAAGAATTCTGCAAAGAACATGGCATTGTTCACGAATTTTCTGCTCCTAAGACTCCACAGCAAAATGGAGTTGTTGAACGCAAGAACAGGACACTTCAAGAGATGGCCCGAGCGATGATGCATGATCGGAATGTGGCCACTCGGTTTTGGGCAGAAGCTATTAGCACTGCGTGCTATCTAATAAACCGAGTGTATCTTCGTCAAGGAACAGGTAAGACTCCATATGAACTGTGGAAAGGTAAGACTCCTCCTTTACAGTATACACATGTTTTTGGTTGCACTTGCTATGTATTGAATGACAGGGAGCATTTAGGAAAATTTGATGCGAAGAGTGATGAAGGAATGTTCCTAGGCTATGCGCAAAACTCTGCAGCTTACAGGGTGTATAATTTTCGTACAAAGACGGTCATGGAATCCACCAATGTGGTATTTGATGAAGGCAAGGAACTTCCAGCTGAACCTCTGCCCAGTGTCCCAGGGCTCACTGACAATTCTTCAAGGACCACTGAATCAGTCGAATTATCGAATGTCAAAAACGATCAGACTGATGATCCACGTCCTGTACAAGTGCACCGAAATCACTCTCCTGATGATGTAATTGGTGATATTCATGATGAAAGGCAGACTCGAAACAAACCAAGGGTGAATTATCAGGACATGGTAAGAATTGTTTGTTTTCTTTCTCACAATGAACCAAAAAAAGTGCAGGAAGCCTTGTTGGATGAATTTTGGGTGAAAGCTATGCAAGAAGAGCTAGAGCAATTTGTTCGAAACGACGTTTGGTATCTGGTTCCCCGACCTGATCATGCAAATGTTATAGGTACTAAATGGATCTTCAAGAACAAGACAAATGAACAAGGTGAGATTGTTAGAAACAAAGCTCGTCTTGTTGCTCAAGGGTACACTCAAGTTGAAGGCATTGACTTTGATGAAACTTTTGCACCAGTTGCTCGATTAGAATCTATTCGTTTGCTGCTTGGTATCGCATGTTTCCTTGGTTTTAAACTGTTTCAGATGGACGTTAAAAGTGCTTTCCTAAACGGAGTCTTGCAAGAAGAAGTTTACGTTGAACAACCGAGCGGTTTTGAAGATCCCCACCATCCCGACCATGTGTTCCGTTTGAAGAAAGCCTTATATGGTCTGAAACAAGCTCCAAGAGCTTGGTATGAACGCCTTACCAAGTTTCTAATCGATCATGGCTACAAAAGAGGGGGAGTGGACAACACCTTGTTCATACATGGAGCTGATCAACAACTGCTAGTCGTCCAAATTTATGTGGATGACATTGTGTTTGGCTCCTCATCTCAAGAAAAACTGGATTGGTTTGTCAAGACCATGACAGATGAATTTGAGATGAGCATGTTTGGCGAATTATCTTATTTTTTGGGTTTACAGGTACATCAATCAGACGAAGGAATTTTTATCTCTCAAGCCAAGTATGCGCGAAACCTGGTCAAAAGATTTGAGCTGGATAGCTGTAAATCTGCACGAACTCCCATGGCAACAACTACCAAATTGACCAAGGATGAAGAGGAAGAAGATGTGGATCCAAAATTGTACCGCGGGATGATAGGAAGTCTCCTTTACTTAACGGCAAGTAGACCTGACTTATGTTTGAGTGTAGGTATATGTGCCCGTTATCAAGCCAAACCGAAGAAATCCCATCTGATTGCTGTCAAGAGGATAATCAAATACGTTAAAGGTACTGTTCAATATGGGATTCATTATACGAAGGAAACAAATTCTCATCTTGTAGGTTTTTGTGATGCTGATTGGGGAGGAAATACGGACGATAGGAAAAGCACATCGGGTGGCTGTTTCTTCTTAGGAAACAACCTGATTTCGTGGCATAGCAAAAAGCAGAGTTCGACATCATTATCAACAGCTGAAGCGGAATATATAGCATTGGGAAGTTGCTGCACACAACTTATGTGGATGAAACAAATGCTTGCTGACTACGGTATCATTTCTGATTCCTTTACTGCATATTGTGATAATACTAGTGCGATTAGCATTTCCAAAAATCCAGTTCAGCACTCTAGGACCAAGCATATCGAGATAAGGCATCACTTTCTAAGGGAACAAGTTGAAAAGAAACATCTCGTAATTGAGTATGTTTCCACAGAACATCAACTGGCGGACCTATTTACTAAACCACTCGATATGAACAGATTCATGAATTTACAAAAATCATTGGGAATAGGAGAACAATAAGAACCCTCCTGAGTGGTACTCTTCAAGGCCCCTTCATTTTTTGGTAAGTCTACCTCGCTACTATGAATGTGAAATATACAACTAGTTTGGTACTCCGCTGTCAACTAATACGGTTGATAAGAGTGGACTGTCTTCATACGGTGACTCGGGTCTAAGTTGTGAAAAGAGAGAGCTAAACGATGGTCTAAGGGCAGAAAAGATCAAAGATCTCTTCATACTCCTCTGTAAAGATGTTTTCTTACAAGAGTATACCTCCGTTTCCCACAAAATTGTCTCCTGTTTTTTTTTTTTAAAAAAAAAAAAATAAAAAATAAAAAAAAATAAAAGAAAGAGTAAGGGGGAGAAAAAAAGAAAAAAAAAAAAAAAAGGAGGAAACATGAGTAGCCTGGACTTAAATGGTGAGTTCCTCTTTGATTTCAACGTCCTAGAAGTCCATCGAGTTGTAAAAACTTCTGTTCAATGAAGTCAGGGAACATTCAGAAAGGAAAAGGTGGCACTGAGGGACTACTCATGAAGGTTCTCAGAAGTTCTTAGGTAAAGTTTTTAATAAAATCAGAATTTGTTCTTGCTCGAAGACGGTTAAGAAAAGATGGTACGCCAGGGGTAAATGTGGAAGCGAAAAAAATTATGAAGCATACCTTGGAGGTCGTGTTAACCTGAGTTTTTGATAACCCTGGAAACAGTAGCCTATAACTACGAAGCTTGACCCCCTAGCATCATTATACTCGATTTTTTTTGTTTCAAGCTAACCTGCAGAAAAATCAAGAAAATGGCAGAAAGAAGAGGATACACGAAATCCCTAGCTCGAAAAACTATTCGATCACCACCACCGGGAAAGCCAAGCCTTAGCATTTCAACTCAGACTTCATCGGCTGTGGCGCGTGATATCGGATTCGCACCGATTGTGGAGGACAGTGAAGTTCCACCATCGCAAGTTCAAGGACCGATGAACGTCAGTCAGTCTCAATCACTGCCGGAACTCCATCCCGACGAAGATCCGACTGTGCAAACAGTTGATTCCAAATCGGACTCCGAAAACCAGGAAGAATCAGACCCAGACTCTGATCCTGAGATGATCGAGCAAACCTGTACAGTTGAAACTGACCCAAGGAGAACTGACAAAAATCCAAGGCCTGTTGCCTCGGATACTTCGGAAACAGTTTCTGATCGAAGACATTCAAGTACTCAAGATGACGAGCACGAAACCCTAGCGCAAAAACAAAGAAAAATCAGGGAGATGCTAAGAAAACGCAAAGAATTGGTAAAGAATTCTTTATCCTTGACCACAGCAAGGCCGCGAACAAGGTTGCAAAAAGCTGTCGCTGAATCTGTATGGCACAAAGGAAAGGCCGCTGAGAAAACACAGGAAAAAGGGCAAAGAACTGCAAAGAAGAAGCAGAGAGTAGACACGAAGGAACAACTGCAGATTCTTCCCTCCGACTCAGAAGAATCCCTGGAAAAAGACTCTGAACCAGAAGATCTGCAAACTCTGGTACAAAATGCCTTATCCCCACTACTCCTTAATGAATTAGCAAAAGAACGCCTTACTGTTCTGAGTACTGTAGATGTCATTGGTGAAAGAAACGCCAATGTGACAAATTTTAAGGAGAATGGTGTTTGGGATCTCTTGGAAAATAGGGGCTTGACAGGATCAGTTACCTATGCATGTCCTTATAGTAAGAGTCTGATTAGAGAATTCTATGCGAATCTAACGGAAAGGACTGCCCTAAAGAATGATATCATGTTTCATAAGGTGTATGTGAGAGGCAGATTCTTAGACTTTTCTCCTGCGTTAATCAGTCGAGTTCTCGGAACCCCCGAACCTAAGAATACATCTCAGGAAGTGGACCTGAAAAATCTTGAGGTAACCCTCACAGGAGAGTATGATGAGTCCAGAGATGGTCAACTTACCATTGCTCAGCTACTATACTTACCAACCGTGTTGCATAAAGTGGCCAGGACAAATTGGGTTCCCACAAAGAAATCAGATTTTATTCAGAAGGACACTCAACAACTGATCTATCGGATAATAAAGGGAATGGACGTCAACTTGGGACAATTCCTGTTTGAACATATCATGGAGCGTAAAGCTAAACCAAGGAAGAGGTACTGTCTTCCGTACCCATGCCTTATTCAGACAGTCCTGATACGCCAATGCCCAGAGTTGTTGACAAAACATGAATCAACTGAAGAAATTCCATCTCTACTCATCGTGGATATTCGTGACAAAAGGAAGAAAGCTACATGTCACTTAACTCTGAACAGTGCTGTGGAAATGCTGGAGAAGACATCTCGACAACTTCTTCAGATGGAAATTCAAGCAAGAAAGCAAGCGCAGGAATACAAAAAGATCAGAATCAGAATTGACTCTCTACTTCAGGGCTCTAAGAGTAACATCTATCTCCCTATCTCTCTTTCTGATCATAACGATAAATTGTTATAGAATATTTTTTGTTTCCCACTCACACCCACAGGGGGAGAAGATTACACAGAAGAAGAAGAACTTGAGAAGGAAGATGAAGCTGCTATAACTCAGAGAAAGAAAAGACAACGAAGGACCCTTCGCGACTCGTCAAGTGACACTGAGAGTCGTGGAAGTTCTTAATTGTCTTTTCGTATGGTCTAAGTGTCAAGTCTCTTTGCATGATGGAACTTGATTACTGTGATGGTTTAATGAAGTACCTTGAGTACCTTGAAATTCTGGTTCTTCTTAGTGTGTGTGGGTAGTGAAACAAAAAGGGGGAGATTGTTAAGTTCAACTAAAACACGTGCAGGGAAAAGATTTTTTCTGTGATGTAGGTTTCAGAAGATAAAGGCAAATCTTCCTGATGGTTCCAGAAGATTGTGAAGATAAAGTCAAGTAGTTGAAGAGATAAAGTCAAATCTAGAAGTTGCAGTTGAGTTAAATTCTTGATGCCTAAAGATCTGGAAAGAAATAGTCACAAAGAGGATCTTGAGAAGATTAAATCAAATCTTGGAGTTCAGATCAACAACACTCTTGAAACCTATAAAAGAGAGAGTCTGGAGCATAGAGAAAGTATGGAAAAAGAGAGAGTCTTAAGAAAGTTAATTTTTCCGTTCTGGGAGTTTTCCATTCTGGTGAGTGTTACTTGAGCGAAAGTGAGTTGTAACTGAGGGGAGCCCGAAAATCACAATCAGGGCAAACCATTCAGGGGGAGTGTGGAAACACTTGGGTGAGTTTTTTTTTTTGCTGATAGAATTCACGTTGTAAGGGGAACAAACTCAGGGGAGTTGTGTTCGTGTGTTGGATTAAACTCGAACGAAAAAGAGTTGTAATTCACAAACTTTGCAAGTGAATAGAATCAGTGGTTGTTTTTAAGAGTGCGTGTTCATTTATTTTTTCACCTTTCCTCTTGCAAATGAAATTTGATTACTGTTATTCGCTTTTATATCTCTGCGATCGAAATAATCGAAATCGCAGCTCTGAAATCTTCTGGGTCTGGGCTGAATTGTATTCGTTTCTGGAAAAAGGATCGGACTTTGTATTCGACGTCACCTTAGACACATTTCGTGGTGATTTATTTCCTCGTGAGTCAAAACAAACTTCATTGAACAGCTGTTGCAATCCTAAATCCTGTCAGGTCTTCGGTTCTAGATTGATGTTTGATGATTCACTGGCATCTGAGTTCCTCTGTTTTGTCAGAATCTTGGTGGTGTCACTAACGGCTTTGGTGATTGTATCACAGAAATTTTAGGGGAAGAGCTTGTAATTGTAGTGCTAAGATGAGTGTGAATCGAGCCAAGGAGTTGGGGCTTCCATTGATGAATCTCGTTAGATTTAGAGGTATACCAATCTTGCAGCAGCTCCATCTGGAAGAAAAGCTCCTCAGAACTTTTTCTGGTAATTGGTGCATCATAAACGATGGAACGAATGCCCCTGCAATTGTCATGGGAATGTCGGGGTAAGATCAGTTACATCACATCTCAATGCTTTTCTTCACGTTTTCTCGTGAGATTACCGCGAAAGATGTCATCTTGAGATGTGGGTATTATTCTGTATAGGAAGCCATATGAACTTCTTGAGCTTGGATCTGTTATACGGGACCAGATACCGGTTATTAAAAGATTTACTGGAGGCGGAACTGTGATAGTGGACAAGGATACTGTGTTTGTCAGTTTGATTTGCAACAAAGATGATGTTCCTGGTGTCCAGCCTTATCCTCGTTCTGTCATGCTAAGAATACATCTCAGGAAGTGGACCTGAAAAATCTTGAGGTAACCCTCACAGGAGAGTATGATGAGTCCAGAGATGGTCAACTTACCATTGCTCAGCTACTATACTTACCAACCGTGTTGCATAAAGTGGCCAGGACAATTTGTGAGCTCGTTAGACGTTTTCTAGTTTCTGGGTTTTTCCTAGTGCCCCCATGGAAGATTTTCATTTCATCTTTTGTCGTTTTCGCGAGTCCAGATTATGTTTTTGGAGATCACAAATTTGGCGGAAATGCTCAGTCGATTACTAGGAATAGATGGATTCACCATACATCCTTTCTATGGGACTACAGTGTCGAAAACATGGCTTACCTTAAGCTGCCTTCAAAAGCGCCCCAGTACCGATTGGTAAGGCCCTGATTTCTTTTCGTTCCTTTCATAAAACGTGTTACTAATTTGAAACATAAATCGTTTACTTGTACAGAACTTGATAATTTCTGCAAGTTAGTTATCAATCTCTCCGTTTTTTTAATTCTCGATGGTATAAATGTACTGCAGGAAAGAGATCACACGGATTTTGTGTGTAGAATGAAGGATTATATGCAAAGATCGGTTTTTATAGAGAAAACCATGAAGGCTGTGGAAACCCATTTCACGTTGAAGCAAGTGAACTTAGAAGAGATGGGTTCACATGCGAAAGGAGAATATTTAGAGACCACGAGGCTTCTGACGATGGAGGAACTCGAGCAAGCAAGGGAAGGCGCAAGCCAGATTGAGAGCATTGCTCATGCTAGTTAAGTTTCTCAACAAGGAAAAACAGATTTCTCCTATTTTAAGCCCTTTGATTCTCTGTTCTTAGGGTTCAGTTTCTGATATGCATTAATTGTGATATCTTCAAAAACAGAAATTCCAAAAACATAGAAGCATTAATTACAAATACTACCTTGTTATGCTAATGGTTAAAGAACAGGGATTATCATGGATCATGATAATGACAGGAGAGCCTTCATCATAAGATGGTCCAGTCCTTGCATTGATGAACAGTTTCTCTGATCACCTATTTACCTAGTTTAGGAAGTTCTTGATTAGTTTCTCAAGAGGCTCCTACCCCGAGAAAATCTATAAATGTCGGAGGTGTGGTCGTCTCGAGATATCCGGTCACCATTGTAGTTTCTGCAGCTGAAACGGTCGATGAAACTGATGATGACGATGATGGTGGTGGTGGTTCGGGGATGGGGATGGGGATGGAGACAGGTTTCAGTGCCAAGAAGGAATCTGAATTTGCAGGGAAGGTAGAGAAGTGGTGACGGAGACTCGGGTCCTGCATCGTTTTACTCAAACGATACCCTTTTTGGAGATATTGAGCTCTGAGGTTATTCTTTTCTCTTTTAAGCTTGTTCCAGCTGTTCTTCTTCACGTTTTTGCTCTCATCACTTCCATTCCCTGCAAAAGAAAGAAAAAACACCCACAGAACTGAAAACTTTCACCAGGACATGATTTTGATTCCCTTGAGAATTTGGTCTGAGTCCATACCCTGATAATATGATCATCTGTTTCTCTTTGAATCTAAGTAGACAATTTCTGTCGGTTCATTCTATTAATGTATACTCATTGAAGAGAGTATCAACCCTTGATTAAACCTAAATTTTTCCCAACATTTTTCAACCCGAGTAACTCCCCCTAACCTAGTTTTCAAACATGAACCAACATGGTTAAAGTTTTCTTCATTGGACTAGCTTTCCTCAGTTTAAGTGAAGCCTAGTGTCATTGGATCCTTTCCAGGGGAATAATACTAAAAAGGGATGGAAGACACAAACCATTAGAGAGACCTAAGCCTTGTGGATTCACTTGGGTTGTCTCAAGAGTAGTTGAAAGTCTCTTGCCAGCTTCTGGTTTATTATGCGCAGACTGATTGAGTTCCCTTTTGTATGACTCAGATTGCTGTCTGAACTTTCTCGCCATGAGGACATGCCAGTGATTCTTCACGGCATTGTCTGTTCTCCCGTGAAAAAGCCTCGAGATCATTGCCCATTTGTTGCCAAACGCCCTGTGAACTGCCAAGAGCTTCTCTTCTTCCTCTTCGCTGAAAGGTCTCTTGCTGATCCTCGGATCCAGCTGATTAAACCACCTCAGTCTGCAGCTCTTGCCTTCCGACCCGGGAAAGAAAAACACATGAAAAAGCTCAAAGCTCTCAGTTTCAGTGGAAAAGGTTCTGACTTTGGATCCGAGAAGTCCAAATACGTTTGTTTGGTTGATGGGAAAACGAAGGAGAAAGAATATACTTTACCGGTTCTCCCTTGCATCCTCTCTGCGATGAAGTTCCAGTTCTGGGGACCGTGAACTGCCACGAGTTCTCTTAGCTTGGAATCCTCCGAGGGCCTCCAATGTCCTCTGGTGCAAACCCTAGACCGCCTCTGGTTTTTATTACAGGTCTCTTCCATTTCAGACATTGCATTAGATGATGCTCTCCAATGGGAGCTGTGTGGGTGTTCTTGGAAACATGAAAAATCCATTCTCCTCATGTCAAATACTCCACAGCACTCAAACCCTTTGCTCCATATATATATATATACACGGAGATATGATATATGCATATATATATATATGCATATACAGCAAATGTAAGTATTATATACATGTATAGTGTGGATGGCCAAAAATGGAAACATGAAGAGAGAGAAACAGGGGGTGATGAGCACAGAAATAGAAAGCAACCCACGCACACACATTTCATGGAGTTGCTCTGTTAAGATAGTTTCAGTTCTCTGACTTAGTTTTTTTTTTAGTTACTTGTTCCAACTTCTGTACCAAGTATTCCTCACGCCTCAACACACACTCACACACGTGACATGTCATATGCGTTACTATATATATATATATGTATGTGTGTGTGTATACATATACTAGCTCTATTAGCATTTTACAATAAAGAAATGCAATACAAGTAATAATAGCCTTTGTTACGGGAAATAATCCCATAATTTTTCAAACGTGAACTATAAAAATTGTTTCAGACCATACATAGAGTATCTTCTCTGTCACACACTCCACTGCATAGCGGTTCAAGTTCCACGGGGCTTCATAAAAAACCGAAACCAAAGGCATACCGGTCCGGTTAAGCTAATACCGGGAACAGCCCTCCGGCACGTTTTCCGTTATAGATCTGGCCAAAAGATCGGTCGGTTAGGAGGTGCAACATTGTACGACTACATATCCAAACTTGGATGACCTAGTGGTGAGAGAATATGTAAAGCATGTTTTCACCCTGGGTTCAAATCCAAGCATAGGGAGGGGCATTCACCTGGGCTTCCCCAGTCCTTTGGAAGATGTAGTCGGGCCAAAGGTTCGGTGAACTTTCGAATTATCAAAAAAAAAAAAACATTGTACGACTACACTTCGGCGATCATTTGTGGTGACATACATATATATACACACACATACATGTATATATATTTATATATGTGTATATATAGGAATTATTTGTAGGTAATGGCTGTCAGAATATAAACTTTGTATAGTTAAAATTTTACTAATTGATTTGGGTTTAATTCATTGCAGATACGGTGTTTCTAATCAAAATTCAGACATGTAGCAAATGGAAAAGACATCTCCGTAGCCCAATAAGAGCCCATTAAAAAATAGGCGTTGGCCCAAATTCTCTTCATGAGCCCAATATAAAAGAGTTCGGCTCAAAGTCTCTTCATGAGCCTGGAATCACACTTTTCCCCCAAACCTGTATATGTTATATAGCCATTAATTGTCTACTATAATTAATTTATTTATTTATTTTTTTTTTAACTTTAATTTATTTATTTTGTTAAGATACTATAATTAAATTGGGTACTATGAATGTTTAATATCATTAATTGTCTAATATAAACGTATTATATAATAAATTAATGACATATAAAATGAATCATGTAAATATATAACTATTCCCTTGGACTCGTTCGGTAAAGAATCATGTAAACGTATAATTTTACAAAACATTATTTGTAGGTTTTTATTTTGAATCATGAGGAGATAGATGAAGCTTTCAATAGGCTCTGTAAACAAGTTTGTATAATTTAATTTAATGCTAAATTCACTTAGATTTTTTTTTCCCAAGACACAGTAAATTACCAAATTTTACTCACCTAAAGAAGGAGATTCATGTCATCATCACTTATAACAGTATACACACACACACACATATATATATATATATATATTATATATTGGACTGTCACTCCATTTATTACAAGACATTATAGAAGTCAAAAAAGAAGAGGTGGCTATGTTGTCTTTTTTTAATTATTTAAAGTTATTTAAAAATATGTACTTGTAAAGATTGGTGATGGCGATTTGTCACTGATTCTTTACAACTTAATTTTAATTTCTACTCTTTATGATCTAGATAGTTGCACCAGTGCCTAGTCACATCCCAGAATTTTGTAAAAGTGTAAATTAAATTTGACAAGATTATAAGATTAATGTTTTTTGTTTGTGAGAGTTTAAATTTTATGATTCAATACATTTCCCGAAAGAAATAGTCACAAAGAGGATCTTGAGAAGATTAAATCAAATCTTGGAGTTCAGATCAACAACACGTCTTGAAACCTATAAAAGAGAGAGTCTGGAGCATAGAGAAAGTATGGAAAAAGAGAGAGTCTTAAGAAAGTTAATTTTTCCGTTCTGGGAGTTTTCCATTCTGGTGAGTGTTACTTGAGCGAAAGTGAGTTGTAACTGAGGGGGAGCCCGAAAATCACAATCAGGGCAAACCATTCAGGGGGAGTGTGGAAACACTTGGGTGAGTTTTTTTTTTTGCTGATAGAATTCACGTTGTAAGGGGATTCCCTACAATTTAAATCCTGGCAAATGATAATATTCACTCAGTATGAGAATTAGAATTTTAATTATCCATTTCATCAAAATAATTGACATTGAAAGGGTAATGGATTACCCATCCAAAATCCAATCACACAACACAAATACTTTGATCTAATTTAAAATATGAGAGTTGGTTTTTTCCTTTTTTTTAAAAAAAAAATAAATTATTTGAAACTATTTATTTTATCTACATGCATCCTAATTATGCGGTTCTTAACAGCATCAATACAATTAATCGCATTAAATTGCATTTTTGGGTTACGTGTACACTTTTTGTGACGAAGACAACTTGACGCGAACCTTCTTTCAAGTACAACAGTCACTTCAACACCTTCATTATGACACGGTTATCAATGTACATGTGTGTAGATATTGTCCTTCTGGGTTTTTTCTTTGTTTTCCTCCATCGGTTAAATTCGTGTAACCCTTTTTATTTTTATTTATTTATTATTATTATAATAACTTCAAAACTAGGGTTGAAATCTAATTCGGTCTCCAAGAATGGTATATTACAAAAAGTCTCGCAAGTGATTGTACACCACGAATAATAATAATAATAATAATAATAATAATAATAATAATAATGTTTAGCAATATATATATATATATATATATATAATATGGTGGTTTATCTAATATTTGCAAGTTGTTGCACCGATGGGTAACTTGGACGATATTTTATTTTTATGTTCTAAAAACGGTATAAAACATTGCATATTTCGATGACCCGTTTAAGATGCAAGAAATATTTTTGTTAACTATATCTTAAAAAAAAAAGGGGAAAAAGAAAATATCTGTTATATACTACAGGGAATATTTATGTGTGTTCAACCCAAGAAAATTAGCAAAAATAAAATTATAAGCATAGAAAAAGTTTTAATTGCATTTAATTATAACACTAAATATTCTCATATTTTTCTAAAAATAAATGATAGGTGATAATTCGATTTTGATATATAAAAACTGAAATAGAGACCCCAACAATGGTTCAGTAAACACACACACACATACACTATATATATATATATATATATGAGTATCTACAAACCAATTAATGAGCCTAAATAACATAGAAAAACATGAAATTAATCCACGCTGTATTTATCTACGGAATAAAACGATAATCCAAAACAATACACTATGAATGACACAAAATAAATGGCCTCAATATTGTACCTTCAAACTCTAACAGTTCTCAACACATACAAAATGCTAGCAGCTTTTCTCCTTTCTTTAGATGTAATAAACTAATCTTATCGAATATTTACATACACAACACATATGTATGTATGCAATGAAAAACGAGCCTATGGCTATGGAGCAAGAACATTAATGAGCATGAAATAAATTTAATTACTGTATATATATTTACATATATATATATATATATATATATAAGAAGGCACCAAATCTTTACATAAAAACAGCGAGACAAAGGGCTGACAATGGAGATGAAGATCTATTGTCCAATTGGGTTCTCTGTTTCTCTACTTTTTTTCCCATCTCAAATCCAACACTCAGAAACTCCACCCAAGTTCCGACATCCTTGGAACTATTTCTCTCGCGTCAAAATAGATTACGTTTTCATCTCCTCTCGATTTTCTTGGCACATCTTTGTCTCTCTTCTTTGGGAAATTCTCCATCTCTCTTTGGGTTTCATGTGTATATTCAGTTTCTTTTCTTGTCAAAATTATATATTTTTTTTGAAATTCTTGTGGTGAACACGAAGTCTCTCATCTAAGGCCTTGCATGAGGGAACGAGGTCATTGTGGTTCAGCCAAGGATGACTTGCCGGCACACATTTTCATATAACACACGCACACACGCGCATATATATATATATGTATATATATATAATGAAAATAAACATATATGATGTGTGTGCACATGTATATTTTGTATAATATTTCACGTATACGAGAGGAGAGTACATCGTGCGTCACATAATTAAGGATATGCAACTATATATATATATATATATAACTATATATATATATATCCTCTCATGATATAATAATACACACGAAGGCACGTTACATGACAAAGCGAGCCCGGCAAGTCGTCTCTGGCTATGCAACTGCTTCTTTCTCTCATTCTAGGCTTATGATGATACATATATAATCCAAACAAAAATGATGATGATGATGATGATGATGATGTGGTAACTGGTAATGTATGTGGTGATGGCGTTGATGTACTTACCTCGCTATTTCACATTTGATTTATGTGCGTCGATATGATGTGTATACGCATATTTATGCCGTTTTCAATCATTTTGTTTTTCACATTTACAGGTAAGAAGGCACATTCAGGAAAAAGTCAAATTCAAATTCGGCTTCGACATATATATATATATGCACCATGTACAAAGAGTACTTTCCCATTCACATGTGTATATATATATACTCATCTTATGTATTGTATACACTGTTGTTCTTGAATATATGAACTGAATAAATATCACATATATTTTCAATATCATATAACGCAAAATATCTTTGAACCCCATTTATCTTAAACAAGATCTACATTTACCAATATGTTTCCAAATTATCCTAAAACTCTATGTAATCTCTCTCTCTCTCTCTCTCTCTCTCTCTCTCTATATATATATATATATATATATATATAT